GTGCCATTGTTTGCATTGAAAATAAATGAAAATTATCATCTGCCAAAAATTTCAATTTACTTATGAACCTAGACAATATTAGAATATGCATAATAAATTTATGATTATGAATAAGAAAAATGAAATGTCTACATTATTATTGCCGAAAAGCAGCTGAGATGTGCCAGAAATTACAATAATATAAAATACAGTATATGTATGGCAGATTGAATGATACACATATGAACAAATATGACAAATTAATCCACTTAAAATATGAAATTAAGTAATAATCAGGGCCGGTCCTACCTTTAATGCGATGCATGCGAAAAATACGCGCGCACGCCTTAGGGGGCGCCAATACAATTTCGGATATTAAATTTTCAATATAGTTTTTTTTTTTCAATATAAAATTTTTTTGCATCTTTTACTAATCTTTTCACAATATTTTTAAAATTCGCAAAATTTTCACTTTATAACAACAAATGGGAAATTAAAGATGAATACATAGAATTCGGCCCTCACGATATCGATTAGGAGAAGTTTAAGATGCAATTTTGGATATCTTAAATACAATAAAACTACAATAATCTGTTTATATAGAATTTTAGTAAATTTTATCTAGTTTCTAATTATCTAATTCAAAAAGAGTTCTTGGGGAAAAAATTTAGAACAATTTAACAAAACGTAGAAAAGTGTCCTGAAAGAATCCACATATGTTTAGTAAATTTGCAAAATATAATAGGTCATGTTCACACTAGTTTTGTTCAAGATTTTTATATAGGACTATTCTAAGCAATTGATTCAAAATTGTTGTAATTTTTATCTAGTTTCTACTAAGATAAATATAAAATAGCGTCCCGACAGAATCCATATATGTATAGTAAATTTGCAAAATATATTCATTGAAATTTGGAATATGGCCTAAGCTCTTAGTACATACCAAGACGATCCTAAGTTCATGCTTGTTTTTCATAATTTATAAAATTTAAAATTTAAATTAAATAATCTGCAATAGTTTCTCACATTTCAATTGTCTATAACAACTCGGTATGCTTATAAATCATCATCAAATAGTTCATGTCATTTACTTTCATTATTTCGATCCTTTTCCCCAGGTGTCATCTATTAAGAAAATGGATTAAAAAATGTGACGACGACTCGGAGACCTCGAATTGGATCGCAGCCAACACTAAAGAGTGCCCCCAGTGCAATGTCACAATTGAAAAGGACGGAGGGTGTAATCACATGGTCTGCAAAAATCAATCTTGTAAACACGATTTCTGTTGGGTGTGTCTGGGCTCGTGGGAACCACACGGTAGCAGCTGGTACACCTGCAATAGGTAAATAATAATAATAATATATATATATATATATATATATATATATTTATTTATATCTGTTATCCCTGTGTCTTTTACAGGTATAATGAAGAGGAGGCCCGAGCAGCCCGAGATGCCCAGGACAAGTCTAGATCATCGCTGCAACGATACTTACATTATTACAACCGTTACATGAATCACATGCAGTCTTTAAAGTTCGATCACAAACTTTATTCTTCTGTGAAAGCCAAGATGGAAGAGATGCAACATCACAACATGAGCTGGATCGAGGTAGAGGCATGTCCATTGAGGAAAAGTTTACTAACAATATTATAATATTAGATAAGAATTTATTGTGCATGTGCTTGGCTTTTTTTTTAATCTTAACTGCATGTTGAGTTTTATCACAATTATAATTAGTTAGTGCTATTTTACAATTAGATTTTACTTTAGTTGCTCGATTTAATGCAAATTTAAGACATCAGCAGGTATTACTTAAAAATGTAATTTTATAGTATTATGTATAAATAATTTTTTTTTAAATAGGTAAAACAATATAAAACTGGTTGAATGTAGCATTTTGCCTTTAAGCAAGTTGCATGAACTTTTGGATGTGTCGATATTCAAAGATTTATAAGATTTTGCTATATAATAACATTTTTAACTGTTTATTTCTGAAATAATTTTGCTTTATTCTATACAAGTGTATAAAACTGTTTTTACTAGATTCCTTATTTGAAGAAAAATATAAAATATGCTACTAATATCCTCATTAACTTCCCGTAGGGTAAGTTATTGTAATGGGCCGAAAATCGGAATTGAAAATTTTTACATTTCTCGACGTTTTGAAGGTTTCTGAACATTTTGGCATACTTCAGAAAAAACGAATGTGTGTGTGTGTGTGTATGTGTGTCTGTGTGTATGTATGTATGGATACAAATTTTCGCCCACGTTTTCGGGCGTACGGATCAACCGATTTGAATAGTTTAAAAAACATTCGATTCCTATTAATAAGGAGAAGAGCTGATTAGTTTTTGGCAAAGACAGGTCCAGCAGTTACGGAGATAAGGAGCAAAGAGTGCAGAAAATAGAAATCGAGTTTTTGAGAGAACGGAGCATCCGATTTGAATGATCTAAAAAACATTCAATTAGTAATGATTGGGAGATGTGCTGATTAGTTTTTGGCAAAAGCAGGTCCAGCCATTTCAAAGATACGGACCTAAATATGTAAAAATGGCAGTTTTTGAGAGAACTAAGCGTCCGATTCAATTGATTCAAAGAACTTTCTGCTTGTCTTAACAAAATAATTGATTTTGGAAAAAAAAATTGTACCATTTTTTTTTCTTTTCTTTTTTTTTTTCTTTTTAATTTTTTGTATATCGAAAATAATTCAGATTTTATTTTTAATTCTGACTATAGTTCTAATATACTTTAAACAAATAATTTCAACTCTGCAATTCAGTTTATATAATTCTTATAAATATTAGACAATGTTACAATATTTATAATAATCTATTTGAAAACATTCAATATTCCTCAAACATTTCGTTATGGTACGGGAAATTCCAGCAATTTGCCTTAAGGCACGATGCCACCCACCCCACTAGTTTCAACTATGAATTATTCAAAATTTTAATATCCGAGTGCGAATAACGATTTTTATGAGGTTTTAGTAAATTTTATCTAGTTTTTATTAATGTAAACAAATTATAATGTGCGAAATGAAAATTAAAAGTTATTTGAAGAAAAGTAAGAAAATTTCCCAAATTCATATAAAGCAACTTATCAAAATACTAAAGTCCGCATTTCAACTAGGATTTATTTAAAATTTTATTACTTAAGTGTGTATAATTGTTTTTACTGTATTTTAGTTCATTTTATCTAGTTTTCACTAATGTATACAAATTAAAACGTTCGGAATGAAAATTTTGAGTAGTTTGAAGAAATGTACGCTTCGCTTTTAGTGTGTTAAGTATTATATTTTAATTTGTAATTCTTATATTTCAGGTTCAATTTCTTCAAAAGGCAGTCGACATCCTCTGCCAGTGTCGTCAAACCCTAATGTGCACCTACGTCTTTGCATATTACTTGCGTAGAAATAACCAATCAGTCATCTTCGAGGCCAACCAGAGCGATCTGGAGAGCTCCACCGAGACTCTCTCAGAATATCTGGAACGGGACATCACATCAGAAAACTTGGCCGACATCAAACAAAAAGTTCAGGATAAATACAGGTAAGTTGATTTAGGATAGAATTTAATGTTGTATCAAAGTTACATGTTATCTGTTGTATCAGGTATTGCGATAGTCGTAGAAAAGTACTTCTAGAACATGTTCACGAAGGATATGATCAAGACTGGTGGGAGTACTCTGAATAATAGATTGAATTAAGTAAAAAAAAATGCTGTCGAGATATTTAATCCTTAACCTGTGGATACCAAGCAACAAGTCTCAGTTTAAAGCAAGATAAAGATCAAATCTTTATGACTCCATTGCCAACAGAAATATAAACCTAATTTTAATTAATTGTGTGACTATTAAAATTGTTGGACAATTTGGCACAAACGATGTGTATATCTCAAGTACGGTGTTTATTTGTCTGAATGAAAGACAAAACTTAATAGTTGATAAAGATTTAAGAATTATGAAGTGATTTAATAATTGAAAGCCTCCCCCGTTGGTGCTTTGTCAACATATAAATGTAATCTCTGACCTTTATGATGGATTGATAGATTGATTGATTGATTCTATTTATTAGGATGGACTTCGACTTCAACAATAGCTAGTGTAAAAAAATAAATTGAGATGATTTAGTTTTAACAGTCAAATTAATATCAAAATTGTTTCGCTTAATGAAATTTATCTGCATATATATGTATATATGTATGGATTTAATTCTTTTGAGAACATGACATTGGACATATTGTTTATATATGCGTAAAAGAACAAACAACTAAATATATATAAAATTATTTATCCAATGTCCGAACAATAAATATATATTATGTATGTATGAAAAGGACAGATTTATAAATATATAGCATATATTATATTAGATACTCTCGACATTGTATGTATTGAATGGTATAAACCCTTGTAAATAAATTAAATTAGTGATATTTAAAATAAAATAAAAACAGGAAAACTATAATGTGTGTGTTATGTATCGAATGAAACATTTCATATGGGAATGGATGTATGATATTTTGAGTATTATACCTTATATAATATTGTCAGATTAATAAGTCGTTGGCAAATCATTACGAAATACTATTTAGAATAGAAAATTTGTTTAATTAAATTTTAAAATTAACGTAAACTTTAATTGCCATTACGACAAACTGTCAAGAAAGATGGCCGCCATCGTGAAGAGCGCGGAATTTAAACCGAAAATCTGAAAACATGATAAAAATTAAAAACATTTGTCGATATTTATTAAAATTACACAGACTTTTTAAAATATTTAAATATGTGTTAAACTTATTGTAAATAATTGTGTAATAACTATTTAAAATTTTTATAAACATTATTTTCTAAGATTTCTCCCCTGCTACATGTATCACGTAAAGTTAGTCATTTAGACAAACGTCAATGACAGTTCTTGTCTAATTTGTTATAATGTATTTTAAGTTTTGCACCCTAAAATTAATAGGGTAAATTAAATAATTAGTGCAAAATACCAAGCATTTATTAAGTGAAATGGATATAGTGTTATATTTGACAAACATTCAGTTAATTACTAAAAAAATTGGAGCAAATGCTAATGGCGGTTACAGAATGGGAAATTCCGGCTGTGATTTGAAGGTAAGAATTTATTTGATTTAAGATACAGAAAAAATGTACAATTACTCTTGAATATATAATCATGATATTTTAGAATAAAGGATTCCAAATTAATTCTGCATGTCACAGTGATAAAAGTCATAATAAATCCTTAAAGCCTTTTACATAACCCCTTTGTGCACCATCTTTATTTACTTTTGTCAAAAAGGTTTATTACGTAGATATTTAACTATTATGCTATTGTTATATTATTTTAAAGTGTTAAGATATGATAAATAATTCTAAGGTGAACCTTATTAGTCCTTCCTATTGGAGGCTTATTAATCTTCTTGTTAGATTCCTATTTGAATTCATTATTAAGGTTTTTATATATATTTTTCATGATAACGATCTAACAAAAATGACCTTCGTCTTCATTTATATAAAGTTGTTTCAATAGATTTTTGGAACAAAGTAAACATTAAAAATCAAGGTAAATATTCCACCTTCCACCATATCCATTTCAACTCAGTTTACAAGAACAAAAAACTATATATTGTTACTTTATCTTTATTAATTTGATGATATTTACTGCTTTTTGTTCAAACTGTTTATCTGTTTATGGTACGATCAATCTCAAGTAATAAATTATAAAAGGAATCATATTACCGATGCCCCAAAGGCTGAAATTAAAACATCTATGAAAAAATTAAGTTCCATGAAATATATTGAAATAATCAAAAGGCACTAATCCATAATATAATCATGGATGTAAATGTTTTATTTGGTTATAAACTTTCCAAAGAAGTAAATGTTTTTGCTAGATTCCGAATTTGTTTTGTTTTTTGGGCGTTCAAGTTGTTCTGAATCGTTTGACAACAAAATTGGTAAAAGTTTGTGTGAGCTAAAAAAAAATTCAATAGTAAACGCGGAAGAATGATAGAGTTTAATTATTAACAATGAATTAATAAAGTTTAATTATTAACAATATTTTTTTTTCATTCACTGCGTCAGAAAATCTAATTTGCATTTTGAATCGAATGGGACCAAATTTTAAAAAGTAAGTGTGTGTGTGTATGCATAAGTGCCTATTGTCGACCTTTTTTATAGAGGCCTAAAATATTAGAGTCCTGCGAAATAGGTTTAATTATAAAAAATCATGAAAGTTTGAAAATTTATCAAAATTTTAATCTTCAATAAACTGAGTTATCGTTTTTGGCACTTTTGTCCCGTATCTCCGAAACATCTGGACCTGCCTTTGCCAAAAACTAATCAGCACATCTCCCTATCAATAGAAATCGAATGTTTTTTAAACCATTCAAATCGGTTGATCCGTGCGCCTGAAATCGTCGACGAAAATTTGTATCCGCACACACACAAACATCAATTTTTTCTAAGATAAGCCAAAATGTTCAGAAATCCCCGAAACGTAAAGATATTTGAAAATTTTCATTTTCGATTTTTTTGGTATTACTATAACTTGCCCTACGGGAAGTTAAAAAATGTCCAATAATTTTACTAAAAATACCCTTAGTATGTGGGTGATGGGGGGGTAATTTTACGTATCACCAAGGGATTTAAAAATCCTTAAAAATCGATGACGTGATTAATGGACATTCTTTAAGGGTTAAACGTACAATAATTATAATAATAAGTAGTATAAGTATAATCTTGACAAGAGCCTAAAATAATACCTATTATTATTGATTACGGCTTGCTTATGAATAAATAAATGAATAAATAAAATATAGTCTGCCCGGAGACAGGTCCATGGTATGAGAGCACCTCAAAATCAATGATTTTTGTCCCCTCCCTTGTTTATTATTCCCATTGTCGTTTTATTACTATATTCGTTTTCATGAATTTTCCTTTCCAAACTTTTGCTTTCATGCTTCCTGGTCCTTTGCATCAATCATCTGCGTTCTTCTTCTTCCCAATGCTTTTTTTTATTCCTTTTATTTTGCCTTCGACGACGTCGTGTAGGAGGCATTGTCCTTGCAGAATGGTTCTGATCCAGTTTCCTTTTCTTTTCAGGATCGACCTCAGTAGAATCCTTTTTTTGCCCACTCTTCTCAGGACTTCTTCATTTTTTACTTTTTCGATCCACTTTATTTTCTTCATTCGCCTCCAGTATAGTTTCACAACTCTCCAAAGAGTTCTTGTCGGCCTTTCTTAGGGTATATGTCTCTTTAAAATTTATAATCAATTTTGCAGATATTTTGACCCTGTGTTTTTTACAATCCGGTCCTGTCCGAGACCCCTATATCCCCCTGTCAACTTTCGAATATTACGAAAAGTCAATTGGCAAGTTCGCACTTTGGCATCGACAATCGCCAATCGTCGCACACCATACTGTCATTAAATAGCCACAAAATCATCGTCACGAATCGAATTTCCATCTCGAAATCGAGACCATGACGCGCGTCACGTCCCCGGGGTCACTTTGCCATCAATCAAAATCGAAAAAATCGCCGAGATTTGGAAAAAATCGCCCGTTTATCCGACATGTGCGCCACGGGAAAGGGATAAGTGTTAGTGGCCCCATTGGGAGAGAGGGACACACTTTGCTGGCGGAGCCTTCGTTTGCATCGTTTTTTTGGTGTTGGTGAGCGCGAGCAAAGTGCGTCTGCGACTCTGAACAGGTTTTTCGCAATTGTGCGTATTACAGGTAGTTTTGTTAGTCGGGGGGCGCGGCGGGGCGAGAGGAGAAAGAGGATTGTGTGCACTTGACATCTCTTATATGTATATGAGGATTATTGGTACCAAAATCCAACTAGCTCTAGTCGATAACTTAATTATTATTCGCACTATTCACTTAAAATGAAAATAGGTATGAATATGATTAATTTAGGTGACATTTGTTAATCACGTGAGCTTTAAAGGGAGAAATTGACAAAGAATCACAAAATATCACGGTGGGGGGAGGGTCTTGTAAGCAAAAAATCCGAGATTTTTCAAAAAAAAAACGATTATTCCTAGGTACCTAAAATACAAGTGATGTGTGGGGGAGGGGGTTATCAAATATCCCATGTATCAACAAGGGGGAGGGGATGTCCACAAATCACCTAAAATTGAAATTAAAATCCGAATCATTTTTGATATTAAAAAAATGGAATTAAAAAAAAAAATTAAATTTTGGGATTTTTTTGCCTTCCCCAACCAATCGTTTTCTTCACAAGCAAAATGTTCTCTTAATTATTCGAATTGGAAGTTTTATTTTCTCAAAAAC